TAGATTCCAGTCACACTCCAGAGCAGCAGGCGGCAGTAACGAATTGTGCGAATCAAATATGAAAAGAAGAAGCTCTCCAGGACAGGAATCAGGAAACCCAGTCAGTTGCATATTGCCCGGTAGAATTGTGTTCGCGTTGATTGATAAAGGATAAGCTACAGTTTCACCCCTAAAGATGTCCAAAAGACATCGTCTGGATTTGGGTGATGACTACTCCACCAGTAAGAAGAGATCTGATGGGTGAGTGCAGCTCCACAGTCAGAGTGGCCGCTAAAACCAGTTATGTACGAGCTAACTGCTAGCTGCTGCTAGTCAAGTTGGCTAACAGCCACCATGGATGCAAAAGACAAACCGAGACAATATCATCTTAGCTGTTAGCGTTGCACCGCAGGTTTAGCCGCTGCTTCTTAACGTCACCATTATGCTCCTCTGGTACCGACTAATTAATGTCAGTTACGTTGTCTTAATAACTTCACGTCGCTGCTAGGACGACTGAAGCTAACAAACGAAGCATCGGCGTTACCTTCACCATTGAGGCACGTGTGTGTGGCTAACGTTGACTTAGCCGGATGCTAACAACCTTTTCAAGCTAGCCTCAGTTGACTTAGCTGGCTAACCTTAGCTACGACTTAAAAAAATACTGCGATTTGAATCTTAAACTATCGAGCTACCACTCAAAATAGTCCAAAATGCTAAAAACCAACAAACCTCGTCGTTAGCATTGCGTTAGCTGACCGAAACTTTGGCGGCTCTGGAGGTGCACTCAGTAATGACCTGCTCCCGGTTATAGGTGTCTGTACGTTAATCTGACGTACACTAATGCAGCCCAACAACCGTCATATAAATCCTGTCTTCACTGGTGGTCAAACTAAAAAATGGTTATTAAGAAAATCCAGTGTTACTGTCATTTTTGAAGTTAGGCTAAACTGATATTTAGCTCAAAGCATCAGTGAAAGGTTATCCTTTCAGGTTTACACAGAACAACCACAAATCTTAAGAAACGCTAAATACAATAACCTTCATAAAGGTAGTGTTTATTGCTGTAGTATTGTTAGATATGTATGCTGTAGCTTGGTGGACCCACTGAGTGTGCATGCATTGCGTTTTTGCAGATATGCACGTGTAAATGTGTATGTGAGAGGATGACTTCATGAAAGGAAATTCATGTGCAGAAATATGTGTAAGGCAGCAGGGCTGTACGTATAGCAGTGAGCATCAACACTGCAATGTACATGCAGACTAGTAACACTGCAGGAGGTGCACTTTAAAGTCAAACAACTACAACTTTCTAGCTGCTTGGTACAAATGGAGAACTTGTACAGGTTTCATTTTCCATTACTAATCTACAAGAAAAAGGCTTATTACAGCATCATGTACCCCTAATTAGTAGCTCTTGGTTACACTGAGGTTTAGTTTGTTTTGTTGTTTTTTTTTAAAGCTATATTCTCAAGAAACAGTGTTTGTTGGCCTGCAGGCTCCACATGTGCCCATCAAAATGAGTTAGGAAAGAAAAGATGATGTACTGAAAGGTTTGGTTGGTTGCTGAAAGGACCGCAGTAGGTTGTAAGGGAATATTTTGGCTACAGAAATAATGGCAAATAAACAGATACTTAATAGGTAATGATGCACAATATTAAAATTTCTGTCCAATACCGCTATTAAGATTTCTGATATCACAGATGACAGATATTCCTGATGTCGATATTCAATTTTTGTTAAAAAAAAAAAAAGTATAAGTAAGCACTGTGAGAACATGAAAACTGTTCAAAAGAAGCCCAGACCAAGTTAGATCACAGTCTTCTTTATTACGTACCAAAAGTATAACATATTTAAGCATAGTTTAACATATTTAACGTTCAAGTCCAGGACCATTTAAGTAAAACATGGTGAGGCGAGGTCAAGGCAAATATTCTGATATCTAAATTGTTATTCAGATAACAGCACAGCGACCGAATATTCAGTTATTCGGGCCCAGCCCTATATACAAGGTAACGTCACTAATTTGTTTGACATTTGGATCTGCACCCCAAAGTCATCGCAAATAGATATTCAAGTCTTCTTGTGAAAATCTGTGTGCTTTTTCATATTGCAATATATGTAATAGAAAAAACGAAATAATGCAGTGTCAGCTTTGTAGTTTTAAACAGTACCACCGTTGCTTAGAAGCTGAGCAGAGTACTGCCAAGTTAACAAACCACAAACTTTTTGTGTGTTCCTTTTAAAAATGTCTTCCTGGTGAAAAGTAAACGGCAACAACCACTTTATTGTCGTAAACCGTCAAATAGAACTGAGTAGTGAATCAATTTCAAACGCATTCGATTTCAGTCCTGTTTTAAACCTACGATCTCCGATACATATTATAAGCAATCAATGCCGTCCTCATTGTCTGAGAGTTACATTTACTGTGGTATCTCATGTGGTAGTGCTCCATCATGTTTGTAATTACACAGTGAATACTGAACGTAATCTTGACTTAAAAAATCAAATAGTAATTGCATAATTTCCTCAAATTGTTCAGTTTCACTTTCAAACATTAACATCAGTGTCGGCAAGCTGTACTGTATGTTTAGGAGCAGGTCAGTGCTGTGTACATGTTTGCTTGGACTTGTCATAATTACTAATTTATTAATTGTACAAAAATGAACAACTCAACATTTGAATTTTAAATAAAGATTATCTAAAAGTTGACATATTTTAACACAGTGCTTAATAAAGTGGAACAACCAAACTCATTCACATTTGCCAAAGTTTATTGCTCGAAATACTTGCACATTTTGCAAATTTTGTAAATGTTGGAAAGTGGAAAACATAAACCGTTCCATTCGTTGCACATGTCAGTGTGGCTGTTTTGATAGTGTGTAGAAAATCACCAAATCGCTGCAAAGTGACATTAGAATTGATAACAGTGGTGCACTGTTCTGATTCTGACAGGAGAGACAGGGACCGCGACAGAGACCGTGAGGATCGCTCCAGGGACCGGGAACGAGACAGGGATCGGGACAGGGACAGAGACCGGGACAGAGACCCGAAGCCAACTATCGCTCCTTCTAACAGCACAGCAGCCACCCCAGGGTTGCCACCCCTCAAGCAGATGGCCGTGCACCAGCAGATCAATCCATTCACTAACCTGCCGCACACACCACGCTACTATGAGATCCTGAAGAAGAGGTTACAGCTCCCAGTGTGGGAGTACAAGGAAAGCTTCACCGATATCATCACACGCCATCAGAGCTTTGTCCTTGTCGGAGAGACCGGCTCTGGGAAGACAACACAGGTAAGAAATGCAGTGAATGAACTCCCCTCTCTTTTGCTGGACATTGAAAACTTGTGAAATCCAATAATCTCTACTGTGTCACTGCACGATAAAGAGATTTGATGCTTTATTGAATTATTTTTTTTATCAAAATGCACTTTAACTGTTGTTTCAATCTCCAGATCCCACAGTGGTGTGTGGACATGGTGAGAGGCTTGCCAGGTCCTAAGCGTGCAGTAGCTTGTACTCAGCCCAGGAGAGTGGCAGCCATGAGTGTCGCTCAAAGGGTGGCAGATGAAATGGACGTCATGCTTGGACAAGAAGTTGGCTACTCCATCCGATTTGAAGACTGCAGCTCCGCCAAGACTATACTAAAGTAAGTGGCACTGTGAGTGATTGAGGACAGCTAATGTGTAAAAACTGCTGGTTATATACACAGAGTAGTTAGTCTTATATGCTGTAATCCAGAACATCCCATCTTAACGAAGAAAGTTCTTTGTTTCTTCAGGTACATGACAGATGGTATGTTACTAAGAGAGGCTATGAATGACCCACTGCTGGAGCGATACGGTGTGATTATTCTGGACGAAGCCCACGAGCGAACTCTGGCCACAGATATCCTGATGGGAGTGCTGAAGGAAGTGGTCCGTCAAAGACCAGACCTGAAGGTATTTTTTATTCACTTGCATTTATCTTTGTTTGCAACCTGGTGCTTCCTAATTACAAACTAAATACATGAGCTCACCAAGAAAGTCTATATTCAAAAAGACTTTGTGAAGATCTGTGGCTTTTGAGTCTCATGTTTTTTGTTTTTTATCCGTTGATACAAGGCACATTTAGTATTGTGGATTTAAACACTTTAAACTAGAGCATACAGGATCATGTATACCAGCGTGTGTAAACTGTATAATATTAGCTGTTGTGTTTGGCAAGTCAAGATGTTGTAGGTTTAGGTAGAACTGTAAAACGTGGCATTTTGTCTGCTAGTCTTCTGCTATCTGTTTGCTGGTTCTTGCAATTTGTCTGCCTAGCTTTGTGAAAGACTCCTGTGACATGCAGTTAGATAGGCAGGTAGGCCTTCAATCATCTCATGTGGTGCAAATGCTATGATTGGATGTTGCTTTTACAGGCCTGCGATTGCCAAAGATATGTTTTTTATTTATTTTTTTTGAAGACTTGATTTATTGGTTGCTATCAGGATGTAAAGAGACTTTCAACAAATATAACAAAAAATGCTTCTCAAATACATTGCATTCTCTAGATTTAATTAAAATAGATCAACAGATGATAATGAGCGTCAGAGTTCACACTTAGAAAAACAGAATCACATGAAGCAAAGTCGACATCAGAGCAACAGTCTTTGTAACCATGAACTTGATAAATTGCACCATTTTCATGCAAATCTCGTTAAAATGTCTGACAAGGCTGTTGAAACTGTTGGTCTGAGTAACACAGTTTTTGAGCCGTACCTCATGTCAGCATACGGGTAGAAAAATACCTATTCAATCATTTCTGTCTGCACAGGTGATCGTCATGAGTGCCACACTTGATGCTGGGAAGTTCCAAGTGTACTTCGACAGCTGTCCTCTGCTGACTATTCCTGGGCGCACACATCCTGTAGAGATCTTTTACACCCCCGAGCCAGAGCGGGACTACCTTGAAGCAGCGATTCGCACCGTCATCCAGATTCATATGTGTGAGGAAGACGAAGGTGACTGCCTCCTCTTCCTCACTGGTCAAGAGGTAATACTTGGGATGCTTACATTTCTTTTGCAGTAGAGTTTCCCATTCCCCTTTCTTCAAAAAGCACTGTTAAACCTATTTGTTTCTTTCAGGAAATTGACGAGGCCTGCAAGAGGATCAAGCGTGAGGTAGACGACCTCGGACCTGAAGTTGGAGACATCAAAATCATTCCACTGTATTCCACGCTGCCCCCACAGCAGCAGCAAAGGATCTTTGAGCCACCTCCTCCGAGGAAACCCAATGGTGCAATAGGAAGAAAGGTACATCTTAAATAACAGAACAGATTACATAGAGTTCCCCCTAATCAGATTTCAAAAGAGATATCTGACAGCCTGTTTTGTCTTCTTCAGGTTGTGGTGTCGACAAATATTGCTGAGACCTCTCTTACAATCGACGGTGTGGTGTTTGTCATTGATCCTGGATTTGCCAAACAAAAGGTGGGCAAAAAGTGACTCATTTCACTTAGATGTTTTGTTATTGACTCATTTTGTGTGTGTGTGTGTAGTTTGCTGTCTTAAATAAAATTCCAAAAGTGGTTTGGATCTTTCTGTAAATCTCTATTGTATAAATGTATATTTCTTTGTTGTTCCTTAGTGGTCCTTTTTTTTTCTTTTGTTCACAATCTGTACAGCCCATGTCAGCTGTTTCACTTAAACATGCTTTCAAATGTGTGTCCAGGTGTACAATCCTCGCATCAGAGTTGAGTCTTTGCTCGTCACAGCCATCAGTAAAGCTTCTGCCCAGCAGAGGGCAGGACGAGCTGGCAGAACTCGTCCAGGGAAATGTTTCCGCCTTTACACAGAGAAGGCCTACAAAACAGAGATGCAGGCAAGTGACCACAGTTACATGAAGTTTTTGAATACCTTCATGACTATCGGCCACTGTACCAACACTAAAATGTACTAGTGTTTACTGAATTGATATTGGCTCCTTTTAGTTTATCTTCTAAGAACAGTGTTATCAGATACATTAACATTTTTACGATCCCTCTCCAGGACAACACGTACCCTGAGATTCTTCGGTCCAACTTGGGATCAGTTGTGCTGCAGCTGAAAAAGCTGGGTATCGATGACCTTGTACACTTTGACTTCATGGATCCACCAGGTGAGTCAGTCTGCATTAGTTTTGCTGTGAATTGTAGATTATCCTCATGTGTGAGTTAGACATAACCTGAAGACATTCCTAACCCCTCCATCCCTCTTCCTCGCTGCAGCTCCTGAGACGTTAATGAGGGCCCTTGAGCTGCTGAATTACCTGGCAGCTCTCAACGACGACGGTGACCTGACGGAGCTGGGCTCCATGATGGCAGAATTTCCTTTGGACCCCCAGCTGGCGAAGATGGTCATTGCAAGCTGCGAATTTAACTGCTCCAACGAGATCCTTTCCATTACTGCCATGCTGTCAGGTAATGCCCAGGACTGGGCTGACGTCTTAATGCCTACTGTAGGCCAAGTCTCTCAAGGTTTATGACGCCTCTGAATACAGGCAGTGCTGAAAATCATCCCAACCTGAAAGCTAGTTTGTGCACAGCGTTTTGGATTTTGCGTGATTTATTGCAGGTGTATTCATAAGAGAATAATGTACATTTAATTTAGTAATACTAAAGTTTTTTTTTCACATTTTCTGTTGCCATAGAAGTTTCCACATTTAATCAGCAGTAAAATTCTTTGAATTTGCAGAATGTAGAGGTAAGAAAATCTTAAGATAGAGAAGCAAATGGATCTAGTGAGACATAAAGGAAGCTTGTACACTAAAGCCTAAAATCATTTCTCTTTAAAACTGGTCACAGCAGACACTGAAGTACAGATAGGTTCAAGTTTCATTTAGAAATGAAAATGTGGCAGATGTTTGAGATTTTTCCTTGGGAGCACATGTAGCTAAATGCAGACCTATATTAGCCATACTTTAATTTATCTAAAATGAATGAAAACTTTTAGTCTCAAACATTTTGACAGTCTTTGTTGGAAAGTAGTTGTTGGACATTTTACATTTGATAACAGTTAAAAATATTTCAGTTCAACAGTAAGACTGAGTTGTAAATAAATGTTTTTTTTTTTTTTTTATTGAAGCAATTACAGTATGGAGAATGTAATGTGTACAGATACTTTGTATTACCAATACTGTGTCACAGTTTTGAACAACAGCATCATTGGGACATGTTTGTCATAGACATGCAGCCCCAATGAGTTCATATCTTCAGAAAAGCCTTTTAGTCCGCAGTTCAGTATTAATTGGAAAGCGCTTGAGTATGGGCTGTTAATGTTAAGTTTATATTTGTTGTGGTCGGTTATATTTACATGTTTTTTTGAATAGTGAATGTGGATATTCACAAGTGTTTCATCACCAAAGCATGTGGATAGGGCAGGCACCACTTCAATTTTATGACATTTGTCAAATATTTTGGAATTTTTCTTTTTACTGGAATAATGTATTTGAATTTCAACTAATATTATTATGTATTTAGTTCTCTTGTGTAGCCTGGAAGCGTTTCAATCATCTGCTCACTAAAGGCTGAACCAATATGTCTCGAAAACAAAATGTGAAATTTCTGAATCGTAAAAAGTCGAAGCATTGCTGGTGTCCCTAACGCTTTGTAGTTGTGTGAAAACTCTTGTTTTACAGATGTGGTTAAATGACCCCCCTCGCTACGAGCTAATAGCCATTACAGTTGGGAATGACCATGAGAACAGACTGCAGCCCCCCCTTTGATAGAGCTTGTGGTCCTGCCCTGTCCCAACGCAGTGTCGAGTGCCCTAGCATCATAGGCTTTGCTCCATTTTTCTGTGAATGTTTGACTCATCCCTATGGGCGGCTTTGTTGGGGCCCATACCAACCTTGTTTAGTCCCACAGTGTTTTGTCCGTCCCACGGAGGCTAAGAAGGCAGCAGACGAGTCCAAGATGAGGTTTGCTCACATTGACGGAGACCACTTGACGCTGCTCAACGTCTACCACGCCTTCAAACAAAGTGAGCATCAGTCCAGACTCCGTATCTTCTTCCCTCGTTTATTATGTTGGGGCACAGGGAATTTTAAATCTGCATTGTTGTTTTTTTTTTTCTCACTTTGGGGACAGCAGAAAAAGCTGTAAACACAACATATTCATATAAAGCGATGGCAGATGTGTGAGGACACAGTTGCCAACTTAATAATCAACATTATCTTAAACTTAGTGGTAGTGTTTACCCATAATTGTAGCTCGCTCTGCACTTTACTTGTAGCTCAGAATTGACCTACTATATTCACAAGCTCACTTGGCGTGCTGGGCAAATCGTGTGGGCAAATTCTAGGCCTCAAAACCCATCAATTGTTCCAAAATACACTGAAGCACTTAAAAGAAATGAATTGCAGATTTGATTTATGATCCTGTGCCTCTTGGTCACTATTGCTCCTTTACATTACAGCCATTTGATCCTTTTGTTAACATAAATCACATTGGTTCGTGCAGCTTCCATTTTGCTGTAAAAATAGCATCAAAGGCTTCACACGCCTGTTTTGACTGAGTGAGTATCAGACACTTGACACTGGAATCCTCGTCATCCCATTTTTTTTTTTGTTTTGTTTTTTTTTTCCCCCCAGACCATGAATCTAACCAGTGGTGCTACGACAACTTTGTCAACTACCGTTCGCTGATGTCTGCTGACAACGTGCGGCAACAGCTGTCCAGGATCATGGACCGCTTCAACCTGCCGCGCCGGAGCACAGAATTCACGAGCAGAGATTATTACATCAACATTCGGCGAGCGCTCTGCACCGGCTTCTTCATGCAGGCGAGATGATCTGATCTTATCTTTCATGATGTCTTTATAGGATATTTATTATAAGTTCGAGAAAAGATGATTGCAGGTCTCCATATTAAATCTCTTTTTTTTTTTATTTCCACCCTGTAGGTGGCTCATTTGGAGCGCACAGGTCATTACCTCACAGTCAAAGACAACCAAGTGGTCCAACTGCATCCATCTACAGTCCTGGATCACAAGCCTGAGTGGGTGCTCTACAATGAATTTGTCCTTACCACCAAGAACTACATCCGCACTTGCACAGACATCAAGCCAGAGTGGTACGTGTGCCGATATTTCACTTCAGTAGAGTAAAACAGGTTCAGATTTATCGAGATCAGTGAGCTTTAATTCAGTGTCACATCAGTGACTGTGTTATTCACATTCTCTTCTCTTCATTGCAGGCTGGTGAAGATCGCACCCCAGTACTATGAAATGAGTAACTTCCCACAATGTGAAGCTAAAAGACAACTGGAGCGAATTATTGCCAAACTAGAGAGCAAAGAGTATTCCCAGTACTGAACAATAGCCAAGAAGTGTCCTGGACAACAACTGCATACTATAGTTTTAGATCTTTCTGTATCATTGTATCTTAATGTTTAAAAGTTGGCTTTTTTTGATTTTTATATTTTGTTTGCTCTTTTATTTTTTCTTTCTTTCTTTTTTTTCTTCTTTTCCCCCATCAATGTTAATTCTGTAACTAAGTGTAATGTCAGATTAAATATCCGCAGCAACTGTTAGACCTGGCTATAATGATTTTCAAAAGGAATATCAGAAACATGTCATTTAGATGTGGTTGAACTTCCTTTAGGAGACCGCTGAGTCAGCAAAGATCTGTGCTTGCTTTGTTTCTTTAATAAAGGAGCTTTGACTTAATTTCTGTGTATATATTAATTAGTAAGCCCAGTTATTTGCAAAAGCAGTGTGGTCACGAGGAGAGACATTTGCTGTTTTGTCATGATACTGTTTTGGAAGGAGTTTAGGAGTAAATGTCAGATTAAATGTGTAAATAAGTATTGCAAAGGCTGGTTTGTGATGAGTGAATACCTCCTCTGACTTGATAACGACTGTATGCTCAATTTCTTGTTAATTCATAACTTATTGGTTCTTAAACACGTTTTCCCTGGAAAATTCACAGCAGTTAATGTTACACTCACCTTTCTTGTTTTACATGACATGGAGCTCAGTTTGATAAAATCCGTTGTACAGACAGAATGTTGACGCTGAGTTTTTGTGTTAAAATTTTAAGGAAACAAACTTTTCATTAAAATACATTCCATCACAATTAAGCATACATTGTGTATCTACTGACAGCGGTTCCCTGGAATGAGACCCTTAAAGAGGACAAATTAAAACCTATTCATCCAAGGATACTTAAAAAGAAGGATGTTAAAACAAATGTAATTTGTGCCATATAGATTAGTAGCCACATCGTCTATTGACAGCTTGCAGACATAACAAAAAAGGTCAACTATGTTCTCAAATAAACCCCTAAACTTATTGTATGCATAAATTAACACAAAACAACCTGTACACACGCTCATACTTTTTAATTTGGAATTTAATCTACAAATGACTACGAATTAAATATGTGCTTGAGGCAGATGTCTTGTTAACTACCGCTTCTGTTCAATATCCTCGATGGTCTCGGGCAGACATCTGTTGCGGGTCTCTGCCAGCATTCTTGCCAGCAATGCCCCAATGAAAGCCGCACAGCACAAGATGACCTGCGGCAGATCCTTCCAGACCTCATCCAGTAAAAGGATTAAAGGAGCCACAGCTACACCGAACCGAGCCATAAAGGAGTTGTAGCCCATACCGTTCTGCCTAGAATACAAAAATCACACAGGGAGACTCACTTCTGGGCTTCGCTCCTGTAACATGCTGATTTATTCCCGCCCCCCATGATGCATTAGAAAACTGAAATGCAGATTTGTTTCATTCCTGCAGTTTTAATCTGAAATGGAAGGTGAAAGTGTGCATGTGTAGTTAGTTACCTCACGACAGTAGGATACAGTTCAGAGCTGTACAGCACAACAGTTGCAAAGGATGCTGCAGAAAACCCTTTTCCAACGATGGCTACCACCGTTCGAGCCACAGACATATCTGAGAATAAAATAATTAAGGAATGACTATTTTTTTGTTGTAATGAAAGTACCGAAATCAGTTCAACCTGTGTAAAGTCACTGTAGTCGCTAACTGAAACAGTTACAGTCGTCCTCATATTTATTCATACCCTCCCATTAAAGAAGGAAAAAAAACAGCTGTTAGTGAAATAACTTGAAATTGGCAAAAGCAATAAACAAAAATGTAACGAAAATCATGACATTGCTTTCGAATTGTGGTTCAACAGAAATATTTTTTAAAAAAAGAAGCAAACAAGTATAATGGGACCCGTGAACTAATATTTTGTTGAACAACCCTTTGAGCCAATCACTGCCATCAGGTGTTTTCTGTAACTCTCAATCAGACTTCTGCACCTGTTGACAAGTGTTTTGATTTTGGTCCACTGCTCATCAGCAAAGTGCTGTAATTTATCTGGAACAGTTTTGTCTGTTTTTTACATTGTTGTTTTCAACCACAATTCAAAAGCAATGTCTTATTTAACTAAATTATAATTCAGCAAATTTTTATTTATTATTACTTTTTTCAGTTTCTAGTTATTTGAGTGACTATTGTGAATTTTGCCTTTTCTTTAATGGAAGGGTATGAATACATTTGAGGACGGCTGTAGATGTAAGCCAGGAGATTAATGAATGCCCACCTTTTGGTACCAGGATGTTGATTCCAAGACAAACTCCAGTAACCAGCAGAGTTCCCACCTCAGTAGGCCGTCGGCCCACCTTATCCAGCAAGTAGTAAACTGACACTTTGGCTGGCACCTCAATTAAAGCATAGGTGAACTGAGTGAGATAGAGGTTGAGCCCAAAGCTTGCGATGTTGAAGCTGATGCCATAAAATGCATTTGCAACACAAAACCTGATGACAGAGAAAGGTAAAACTCATTAAAGCCATCAACAGCTTTTTATATATATTACAACATAATATACTGCAGCCTTAACTCATTGCATTGGTTTACACAGACCATAATAGACCAGTACGCAGGGCCAGTTTCCTCATCTCAGGTGTTCGCACCAGGTCAAAGTAGGAGTAAGAACGATCTCTTTTCTCCGTCACAACAATAGTGGATAATGTCTGAAATGATGTAAAGCAACATTATTCTTCAAACCGTATCATGAAAAAAGAAAGAACTGGGGACTACAATGGTGTATTAGACTCATCTGAAATACAACCAACCTCTGTTTTAAGTGTGTTAGTTGACGCCTCTGTTCCATTCATTTTAGCGCATTCTTTCAAATACATCTGAGCTTGCTCCAGCTTCCCATTGGCAATGAGCCACCTCGCCGACTCTGGCATCCACCTATATTGGAGGCAGAGATGTCTTTAGCCCAAATGGGTTATAAAAAACATACAAAAACACATCTATATTTTAAAGTATTCCATCACATGTTACTGAAAACAAATAAGCTGAACAGCGTGTATGCATCCAGCTCCAGTTGCAGATGCAACACAAAAATAGTATACAAAGAAAAGAGAGAAGAAGGTTGTGCAGTGAATGCAGCACGCCCCTGAAAGTTAAAAACTCCACTGATTTAGCAGTACGCTCCTGTAACGTTGTTTGAACAAATGAGCGATTTAAGAATTGCTTAAAAACCGATGCAGTGGAACTAGTGATATTGTTTTTGTTGTATTCAGTTTGTTCTTCTTCTTTGACCAAACCCAGGGCCAACATGACCTACAATGCAACACAGCTTTAGATGGTTTTCTTCCTGAACTTGTAGTTTTTCCCAGTGATCAAATGGAATCACCAGTTTATCAGACTTAGTACTGCTTATTCAGATATGCGGTAGCACTCCCCTGGAAAGTTACAGAAGCTGTAACGATGAGCATCACTTTGGAGTTTCTAACTTGAATTTTAACCCCAGAAAAAGTAAAGTTTGTAAGTTTGTTCAGGCCTGAATCTCAACAGAAAATATCAGAGAGGATGGGAATACCATGTTAACATGAGGCATAGCTGTTTATATTTTGTTTATGATTGTGATATGTTGTTTGTGATATTTATATCACATCCATCATACATGGTTACTCAGTCACACTAAATACCACTTGTACAGATAAGGGGGCAGCGGACTTCTGTTGGCCTAGAAGATGTGAGTGTTAGTGTCATACCTCCACATGATGATGGCCAAGATTAAAGGTGATGTAACAGTGACGATCAGCAACCGCCAGTCATTCACAAAGTAGGCAATGGCTGCAAACCCTGTATTTCCGAAAGTCCAGGATAAGCTGTCCAACACTCCCACCATTTTCCTGTGCTCAATGTCCACCCACTCCACACCTGCAAAGCACAAGCACCTGATCACATCAAAATTCAGAGAAAACCTTTGCTTCGCAATCTTATCTGTCTTGTGTCGTGTGTTCAGATGCAAAACATAGACGACTTACTGAGCACTGCTGAGACAATGACGATGCCAGTGATGCAAAAGCCAGTGAAGAACCTCAGCACTGCGAACATCACGTAGGACGTAGAAAACGCACTCGCAACAGCAAACAGCATTCCAGACACATACGACACCAGCAGCATGATCCTTCGGCCATACCTATGGAAAGCCACAGAGTCCCCAAATTCAATGTTATTGATTAGCTGAAAAACGTTTAAAGCAAATAATTAAATCAAGTAAGCAATATCCTTATAGCCAAGCTGTGATACCTGTCACTTAGACTTCCAAAGGCCATGGCGCCAAACATAACTCCAACAAAAAAGATGGTAGCAGTTGCTTTGTTTTTCCCTCGTTTATCACACACCAGGTCCCACTTGTGCAAAGAAATAAAGAAAAATGTACACTTTAACTCAAAGTCAAAGCACTTTACCCTACAAGGTGATTGTTAACAAGTACATTTTATTTAGTTTGATGTATACAGATAGAAAAAATAAATGTACAGCTGAATTACCTGTGAGGTCAGAGTTGACTTAAAGGTGGTGTTATCGTACACCCATCCATTCCGGCACGGCACCGTGGGTCCATCAGTGATGTTGGAGAAATTCAACAGCAGGTGATACTGAGGCTCCGCGAACATGTAACAGGAGCTTGGAGTCCCATCATGCTGGACCGGAATACCAACAACAAGCCTCTCAGCGTGAGATAAATTCATAAAAATACCCCCATCGTCCAGAGAGCTGATGTCACAGTGATGAGCAGGAACAGCTGCTATGAAGTTGTTCAGCATGAAGTGGCAGGGCAGTGTGAAGCGGCCAATGAAGCTGATCACAATGATCATTACTTGAAATCTTCCGAATCCATTAATATCAGCAAGAATGTTCTCAAACTTCATTGTGGCACCCCACTGTCAGCAATATTTCTTCCTTTGAGAAATAAAAGTAGAAAATCTCCTCTTTCAGCCTGTTCACTGAGCAGAAGTAACAGCAAATTTGACTCTGAGACAAGGCAACCTTTGGCATTAAGGAAGAGCGACTGAACTGCAGTTCAATTGAGTGAATATTTTACCTGACTTAACCACTAAAATAACTATTGTCAGTGTGACTGTGAATGAAAAGTGCCCATTGGTGGTAATATATAATAAAGGATCCTCATTGTGAAGTGAAATGAGTCATCATTTTTTTTTCCATGTCATTATTATAATATAAGAGTATTCCCTTTCTGGACTATAACACAAAAAAGTGGCTGTGATTCAGTTTTAGTGTAATGCAGGGACATTTTTGTTTTGAATAGTGTAGAGGTCTTATTTCACATATTTATCAGTTATCTGTACAGTTGTATTTTTTTTTTTTTTTTTACCGATCAAACAATTGTCAATAGCTGTAGCTTTAAATGTGTTCTCTTTGTGTTTTGTTTGTTTTTCAGCACTTTATTTGTCCATTTTCTCGACAAAAAAAGCATACCTGCATTAATACAACAAGTGACAAAAAGAAAGCAGCATCAGCTGGTGATATGTTGCAAACTGCGTTATCCTCGTTTGAATATCTTAATGGAAGAAGCTGAGCTCGTCATGTTTCGGTGGACTGTTTCGGTGACGCGCATCTGTTGCAGAAACTCAGGGACAAAGTCCAAGACAAACATAAAGAAACAAATGCCAAGACAGGATCAGACAGCAAAGATTAAAAGGATAAATAGTAGACAGCAACAGCTGTACAACAGGGGAAGTGCAAACAAGAATGGATTATTATTAACCAGTTAAGGTAAACCAGTTACAAATAGATGCTCTAACAGTGGAGTAAATGCTGTGGAATTTCATTGTAATGCTGTGTTCTGTTCATAGACTGTATAAAAGATGGACGTAGTAACCGGCCATGAAAAATGAAGCCAACCCGGAAGTGTCAAAAACCTACTTCCGCGAGCTGCTGGCTCCAAAAAGCCCTGACTCCCATAGACTTGAATTGGAAAAGAAGTGATCACAGATCACGAAATACTGCATTCCTACAGCTCCGGATTTTTTTCTTATTAGTTTTCATAGTCAAATCCAGAGATCAGGTGGCCAATCTGAAAATAAATCAATACTAAATTTTTTTTTAAAAATCGTCAAAATTTTGCGGGGCAAGGGGCGTGGCTAGCTTGATTGACAGTTGGCAGCGACGATGCAGACGAACCGAGCAGAAGGTGGTAAATGTGGGCGGGTCCTCCAACGGTTTTTGTGTCACTGGCTCCAAAAATCCAAGATGTCAACCAGGAAGTAATAAAACCCTGGCTTCATTTTCCCAGTGCAGAAACCAATGGGTGATGTCACGATACCTACGTCCATCTTTTATACAGTCTATGGTTCTGTTGAAACGTTTGACACATATGAGTTTGGATCTATTGTTACGCTTTAAATACAGAGGCACAGAACGTGTTTGTTGAATTGATAACATCTGATGACGTCCAGAACAGCTGGCGTCAAAGTTTAAGAGCATTTCTGACAATTCCACTCTACTGAAACAGGAATTATGTGTGCCATCAAACTGTACAGTTGCAAATGAAAGAGGAATGAATGAGACTACTAATGGTGTCAGAGATAATTAATTTAAGGTCTTGTTCTTAAATATAATTTTTATTGGTGAATGTTGGATGAGATATGTGGTAAATTGCATCAAGTAGTCTTGAAATATGGTTTGCATGAGGGCTTTACAGTTCCCAAGAGAGAAATTTGGTGGGAGAAGTGGAAATGTTATATTATGTTTGCTTTTATGTATCTTAAAAAATGGATTGAGAATTTTTTATTTTTTTTTTAAACCAGAATTAAAGTGCTAGATGTACCATGCAGGGACAAGGTGAAAAGAGGTTTAATGTTATAAGAGTACAGCCAACAGTTTGTGTTAGGGCAGATCACATCGCTCCTTCATGGCTGTTTCCTTGTCCCATTCTCCCAGGATGTAACCTAATTAAACTTTTGAAACAACTCTGCTGGCTCCTTTCAGTACAAACGACATGCTCGAGCTCTTCGTCCTATCACAAAAGCTGAGCCCAGTCATGTTATTGTGGAAACTCACCTTGGTTTCTATCATTCTATAAAGAACATAGATCAATTGGTAAAGGCAGTACAGCATTACTGTCTGATACAACTTGTGTATTAATGCTGATGTTGAAACAAAACATCTGTCTATCATTTTTACATCACTTTTAAACAAGGTCCCAAGATACTTGAACTCCTTCGCTTAGGGCAGTAGCTCATTCACAACCCAGAGGGAACAATCCACCAGTTTCCAGCAGGGAGCTTTGGCCTCAGACTTGGAGGTGTTGACTGTCATCCCAGCAGCTTCACTCCTGACTGCAAACCACTCAGTGCATGCTGGAGGCCACAGTCTGATAAGGCCAACAGAACCACATTGTCTGCAGTAAGCAGAGGTTTAACTCTCAGGTTCCCAAACCGGACATTGTCCTCAACCCAGGACTGAAGACAAAGGGCAACCCTGGCAGACTCCGACACCAGCCAGAAATGTGTTTGACTTCAAGTTATTTTGAGGCTGCGTGTCTGCTCATTTTCTAAAATAAACAATGAAATCATGGCCTCAAAAACACAGCTGTAAAACTGTGTTTAGCTCGTGGTTGATGTATTTATTGAGAATTGCACAAAGTTTTCATTACAAATACAGAGACCTCATGGTTGTGGAATAGATTTTCAGTCATTTTGAATTCCACTGTGTAATAAACAAGACAATCTCAAATGCATGTTTTAAAATCATCTTTGGTTTTTGTCAGGATACACAAACATTATCTTTTTGATATATTCTGGCACTTAGATGTTTGTAGTGTTTGAGCCACTCAACACAGCGTCAAATATATTTAATGCTACACCATCATGACTAGATATGTGCCACCACCACTGATATTTCTGGCAAGTCACTGCGACCAGTCATCAACACTCATAGTCTTACAACCTTTCGGTTGCAACGAAGAAAAGCAATTACGAAGGAGATTTCTCATCAGATGTGGTGACTGATCGTCTTCTGAAATACAAAACACAGTTTTATTCAGTAATCTATGATTATCAATGTGAATGTTAGGATGCAGTTCAAATGAAGGCCCAGTACCTTCTCTGTTCCACATCCTCAATAGTTTCTGGTAAACGGACGTTTCGTGTCTCACTTAGAAAAAAAGCTGACAACGCAGCAACAAAAGACAACAGGGTGAAGACAATATTTGGCAGAGAGGCCCACACATCTTCAAGAATTATGATCAGGGGGGCTAGAGACACACCGATACGCGCCATGAAGGAGCAGTAACCGAGTCCATTTTGCCTGCATGACGACAAAAATCCAACATATTTGTTATTGCATTTCCTTCAAGCCTTTCTTGGTTCATCAACTGTCTTGTAAACATGTTGCTTCTGGATAATAGACACTGTTTGACGTGTACAACATATATATAAGCAAAATATGTATGTAATGACCTCATTACTGTGGGGTAAAGCTCTGATGAGTGCAGATATATAGCTGTAAAACCCCCTTCTGAAAACATCTTGCCCAAAGCTCCCACAGCTGTCCGAAAGGTCCTCATATCTGAAAAGAAAGCATTGAAAAGGGCATTTTAACCTCATCTCATAATATGTTTTAGGCTGTGGAATTAGAAAATGAATGACTTCAGGACTATGCGAGCTTTTATTTTACTCTTACTTTGGAAATAAAATAATAAGAATGTATGTCATTTTTATTCCAAGATTTGTTTTTTGTATTGTTGCTTTCATTTTTTTGTTGCTGCAGTAGTGATTAGTTTGCTCTTTCAAAGAGACACACAGTGGAACGGATCATTTACCTTGAGGGATAAACACGTTGCAGCAAATACACAGTCCTGTAAGGATGAGCATTCCAATCACAGTCAACCTTCGGCCTATTTTCTGTAAAGTGTAAAGGACAAGCAGTTTTCCTGGAATCTCTATTGCACCGTAGATGAACTGTGTGAGATAAATGTTCACACCAAATCCAGAGACATTAAAGCTGATTCCATAATAAGTACAGGCCACTCCAAACCTATGAACAGGAGGAGAGCAAATTATTATTATGATTATTATGATTATGATTTACGTCACACAGTTGCTCCATAGAATAATAGTTTCTGATTGGCTAGTTGGTATCTGTGACGGTTAAAAGTTAATCTACTGTTTTAAACCAGTGTGCATGGTAGCTATATGTAGCCATAGCAACAGTCGTACACAGCATACTATCCTCCTTCAGGGGAAAAGAAATACTGCGTCCACATTGTCATCCATTTTTTAAAGGTCTTGTTCTCAGGATGCACAATCATAGATGTAAACCTACATAGAGTAAACCTACATTTTTGCAATGTTTAAAAGGTATAAGCCTACCACACAATGCCAGTATGTAAAGCCAGAACTCTCATTTTGGGGGTCTTCACAAGGTCCAAATAGGAATATTTTCTGTTTTCCTTTGCTACAACTATTACTTTGGACAGGGCCTAGAAAGAGTGAAAAGGAAACTTTGATCAGAAAAAGGAGATGTGCTGTGTGTCAGGTTCTGAGTCGATGCAAGCAGATCTTGTAAAATGTTGTACCTCAGGCGTCAGGTCAGCCATGAACTCCTCTCTGTTGTTGACTTTTGCACACTTACTGAGGTAAAAATGAGCATCGTTTACTCTTCCATTACTTATCAGCCATCTGGCAGACTCAGGGAGCCACCTGTAACAAAGGTTGATTGGGGGAAAAAAGAACGGTTTTAAAGATTTTTTTAATGTAAACATATTAGTCACACACCGTCTTTATCAAAGTGAAAAATTCTTTTGCAAATGAGAATCAAGATATTTGTTAAGGTTGAAGGCTCAATTATCGATTTCTTCTTACCTCCAACTGATCATAGCCACAAGCAGTGGGGTGGTGACAGTAGCAGTCAGGTACCTCCAGTCCCTCACAAAATAGGCCAGACCAGGCAGCAAAACAGTATTAACACTCCAGTCCATACTTATTAAAACACCCACTATGGTTCGATACTTGATATCCGCCCATTCAATACCTGTGTGGTGCAATTGTTATTATTATTATTTTTATTATTTGTGGTATTTATTGATGTTAAAACACAAACCTGATTGAAAAATGATTGTGTTAAGAAGTTTAGATTTTGTAATTCTTCTATTTCATAAGCAAAATACAGTGTCTTGGGAGCAATGGGAGTGGAACATTTAGTGAATCATTTCTTGGTTTGGTCAGAAATCATTTCATTCACGGTTTTTAATAAAGATTTGTAGTTTTAAGTCTGATGTATGCTCTATAAAAATCTTTCATATGAGGCTGAATTAATTCTAGTTTTCAGAGAACTGCACATATGATAAAAGACAACTCACTGAGAACCACACTGATTATACTTATTCCAGAAATTCCAAGTCCAGTAAAAAACCTCATGGCAGCAAACATGGGAAAATTGTATGAGAAAGCACTTGCAAATCCAAAGACGGAGGTTATCATGTAGGACAACAGAAGCGTTTTTTTCCGGCCAAATCTGTGAAACAACATAATTATAGATAATTCTACAGAGCAGATGAGTCAAAGACAAGATTTAAAGAGTATGTTGTTGTGGGTGTAAAATGAAAGTGTAGTCATGCTGTTCACTGTGTGGGTTAAAGTTTTATAAAGTTCTGGAAGTATTAACATGTCAAATTGGAACAAGATTTGCTCCTCTCTTTGGTGTAAAGAAATGTTGAGCAACTGGACAGTCTAAGATCCTTCAACTACACGTGCCCAGTTGAGGAAATTTAGCGTAATATACATGTGGGTTTGTGCTTTTTAATCCATAATTGATACTTTGCAAGACATCTTTTCATCGCTTGACTCTGTAGGTGTTTTCAATCAAATTTGACAATGACAAAAGAGACATCTGAGACAACTGATGCTGCATGGCAGCATAGATGCTAACACACACTGAAGCTAGAGTTACAATAATTCTACCTTTGAAATCATATTTGCCATGTCTTAGTTTAGATTTCATCATTCAATTACTCGTCTTGTAGTATATTTTTTAAAAATAAACAAGTAAAATACATGAGTGTAAAGATGATGCCTGACATGAGAGGTGAACACATGAACACCTGTCACTAAGATAACCAAATACTGCAGCTCCTGTCATGACCCCAATGAAGAAAATAGTGGTGGTGGCTTTGTTCACTGTTTTCTTATCACAAACCAGGTCCCACTAAGAGGAAAACACAAACAAAAAAAGTGAAAAATAAAACTGTTGATGTAGAAGTGGTAGTAGTTTCATTCTTTGTACATAGAGAATGATGGAATTCTCACCTCTGTGGCCAGAGTAGACTTGAAGGTGGTTGTGTCGAACATCCATCCATTCTGACACGGCACTGTTGGAAGGTCAGTTAAGTTGGAAAAGTTGAACAGCAGATGATACTGCGGCTCTGCAAACATTTGACAGGAGTTCGGAGTCCCATCCTGCTGGACAGGAACACTAACAACCAGCCTGTCCTCCAGAGATAGATTCCTAAAAAGACCTCCATCATCCAGAGAGCTGATGTTGCAGTGGTGAGGGGGAATAGCTGCAATGAAATTATTCAACAGGAAGTGTAACGGCAAAGTCATACGAGGAATTACCATCAAGATGAACATCCTTTTTTGGAATCTGCCAAAGCCATTGATCTCTGCCATCACATTGTCAAACTTCATCTTGGAAATATACGATGCAACATTTGAGTGACAAAAAATATCACAGAGCACACGAGATGTTTGTTGGACAGTGAGCCACAAGCCTTTTTGTTTTTCCAATAGATGCTGTCGGTTAATGGTCAGCTACTGTGTGACACTGTGTGAATGTGTAGTACTCCGACAAGCAACATGTTGTTCTTAAATGTTGTTTTAAAATAAATCATTGACAAAGACTCCCTAATACCAAAGCTACATGGCTGCTGTCACTGCAATGTCTCGAAGCACAGGCCAATGTAACATTTACTTTATACTGAGGATGTAGCAATCATCTACATACTGTCTAAAGTTTAAAGCACTGTGTGCTTGTGAAAGAAATAATCTTGGCTACGCTTAGTGTAAAAGTTTGTCATACTTGTCTTTCCTACTTTGGACCAGGCCTTTACCCCGATCAGCCACAACATTAAAATCATGTGTCTTGTTTTAATTCCCCCTCGTGCCACCAAAACAGCTCTGACCAGTCGGGCCATTGGTGTCCTCTGGTGGTGTCCTGTCGTGTCCAGAACCAGGACGTTGGCAGCGTATTCTTTAAGTTCTGTGAGGCCTCCATGGATCGGCCTTATACCAATGCATCCTGTTGATGCTTGATCGATGGCTTTCTTGTTGTGTTCCTTAGCTGGTTATGAGAAGTTTTTTGGAATGTGGCAGGTTGTATTGTCCTGCTGGGAGAGACCTCTGTCACTGGGGACTGCCATTGCCATCGGGGGTTGTGCTTGAGCTGCCATAGTTGTTCAGACAGGACACTTGGTCAGATTCACCCATTTATTTTGAATGACATGCATTTGTGTTTGGCGGTGACTCTGCTCGAGTGATGCTCTGAAACAATCTGAGCAAGCATGACACAGACAGTCCCTGAGATCACAAACCTCCTGGCAGAGCCTTAAATTCACAATGTTCACAAAACAAGAAGACCAACTTAAATGTTCCTCACTTTGCAAAATCCAGTTTACATAGTTTTAAGGTACAATTATGAACCATCTGCGTTCTACAGTCCCACACAATATGAGAAACAACCAGAGTTATGAAACTGAACCTTTAAAAGGGAGAAGGTTGCCGATCTGTAGAGGCTGGCGCAGCAGTGATGTGGTGAGTGTGGAGCAGGCAGAATGAATGAACCCTGCCTCAGGTATAAAGCACCCGAAGCAGGTGGGCTGGAGCAGTGAACGACTGGACAGAAAGGGCCTTGTGACACCCTGACTCCGTGCCTGTCTGAACTAACGCAAAAGCTCCATTTAAGTGGGTGGTACGTGTCCAAGTCACATCCACATGAATGCCATGAACCAAGGTTGCAGCAGCACATTTCACTGTAAGGAGATGATCAGTGTTATTCCTTCGCCTGTTTGTGGTTTTACTGTTGTGGCTGATTGATGTAAATCTCAACTGTATCTAGACAAATGTATGGATGTGAAGTGTAACGTTTGCTAGAGATATTTGAAGCCGTTAAAATAAAAGGTGAATTTTAATGTTTAATTCAAGTAGATGAGGTGTAAT